AAAGGTTTGGTTAGTTCTGGGGTTTGGGATGTTGGACCACTATTAAGGTTTACTAAGTTGATGACAGGTATAAAGGTTTGGTTAGTTCTGGGGTTTGGGATGTTGGACCACTATTAAGGTTTACTAAGTTGATGACAGGTATAAAGGTTTGGTTAGTTCTGGGGTTTGGGATGTTGGACTACTATAAAGGTATACTAAGTTGATGACAGGTGTAAAGGTTTGGTTAGTTCTGGTGGGATGTTGGACCACTATAAAGGTATACTAGCTTGATGACAGGTGTAAAGATTTGGTTAATTCTGGTGGGATGTTGGACCACTATTAAGGTATACTAGCTTGATGACAGGTATAAAGGTTTGGTTAGTTCTGGGGTTTGGGATGTTGGACCACTATTAAGGTATACTAGGTTGATGACAGGTCTGTGAGATGTGGTGAAGGAAAAATGAGTGAAGAAATGTGACACACATAAATATGTAGGCTGTCATTTTATTTGAGAATACATGTACCACAATCCACCATTTTACTCCTTAAAAAAGAATCTTGGAACCATCGTTGGCTTGAGAATCATTTCAACTTGGAAGCTAGAAAGTATTGAATAACAAAGTTCCCAGAACAGACCTCTTTTCTACCAAAACAATTTTGTGAATAACTTGGATAAAGCTTATCACAGGCTTTCTGAAATAAAGGTGTATATCATCAACAAAGGAGCTTTCATTCAAAAAAGCAGAAGTTGCATAAAAAATGTGGTAGTTGGTCAATGAGAAAACATGTTTCTAAAACTATGTTGATTACGTATAGTAAATAACTTCTGTAATTTCAACAACTTATAACAGGTCAGACTGGTAGTAGTTCACAATTTTTCTCATTCTGAAATTTCTCTGGAACAAATTATTGGGCGATTTCCTCCAAATAAATTCTGTCACATAAAGGACAAATAGTATTTGGCAACGATAGTTCTTCCACTTAATTCCATCATGTTTAAGTGATACTATACGACAACTCTCGCCTTATGTTTCATGTGCTACATGTGGAATTGAGAAGTGATGTTTCCAACACTGCCACGTGTGTACTGTGTAGGATTTTCATGGTACTGGAGCGAGAGAAAATACACACTGTATGTATGGGGATGTTTGTAGAGTTGCAGCGATGCAAATATTAGATTTATTCTGTTCATCAGTGACATAATTGGCAGGTCAGTCATCAGTGATATAACAAGGGTCAGTTTGACAAGCAGGGTTTTAGAGGGTGCATGCCATAGATTTTGAACTGTGTAGCATAGACTTTTTTAATATTAGGTTGTAGAGTAGGGAAAATCATCAAACATAAAGAAAATAGGTGGAGCAGGAGAATAGAGGGGTGGGGCAGCGTGCCCATCTGAAACAGCAAAGCTAGGGCAATGGTAGTAACTTACTGTCGTCAGTAGTAACTCATTCCATTTGTTAATCTCAAAAATATAATCTTTGTCCTATTGCCTTCATAATTCAACAAAATAAATCAGAGGCCTTTATCCTTTTGATCCCCCAGATGATCTTGTACTTATTCTGCTAAAACAACTGTATATATTAGAAAAGATACTGTTCTAACCTGAGTGGTTTTCATACATTTATACTTTTTCTCTAAACGTTTGTGAAGTAAACATAACATGTAATAAGTACAAATAGAATGTGTTAATTCACTAACTCTGTAAGAACTGTATATTAATTGTGGTATATGTATTATTTTTGAAACTGTGTTTAGGTATACAAGAAAAAGGAGCGGTTGAGGTAACCAATTGTTTCTGTGTGCCACATAATGAGCTGGAAGATGAGGTAAGTACACAAAAAAAATCTAGCTACAAATTATATTGATCTGTGTTTTATACATGATGAGGAAAATAGATAACTTGAAATGTTCAAATTCAGTAAGGGTTTATTAGGTTATTTAAGCTATTATGGTTTTTTTAATTTTTGATGTTACTACTGATTGTAGAATTTATTTCATTTTCTGATAATTCAGGATAATATTGAAAATATAACATTTTTGTTTGGATTGTGAAGTTTCAACACTTTTCAAAACTTTTGTTTATTATAGGAATTTGTTAATTTCAAAATTATCATTCTTTAACTAAATAAATAATTTGTAAATACTTGTAATTCTACCCATAAATATGTTCTTTCATGTGCTTCTCATTTTTTAGGCTGTCTTAAATTGTAGGTATTAGTGGTAACCATAATAGAGGTTGTTTAAAAACAACAATTAATTTCCTATCTTAGTTGTCATTGTGAACCCGAAGGTCCGTGGTTCACGTCTTGTTGCAGAAATATTCTGGGACCATGGAGGCATGATCCCACTGATAAGAATAGTCACGACTTGGTGGTGGGTTTATCACTTCATAATTAACAATGGCTAGTGTTTACAAAATTCTGTCAGCATGAGTGTTTTTGACCATTTTCATTTTATGTAAATGTCTCACGTTTTGAAAACAATCTGAGAAATTATCTATGTTAATATTTGTGTTTATATTAAACAGCATCTCAGAATTGTAGTTTTTTATTTTGACTTAATCTGTGTCAGTTTATTTTGTATGCATCCTTTAGTTACATATTATATCATTTGTTTTAAGGTAGCCATTAATATGGAGTTTGCTAAGGATATGTTTGAATTTCATCGAAGAGTTAATCCCAGTGAAGTGATTGTTGGATGGTTAGTATATTTTTTAATTTGCATATAAAAACTTGAATTTTATTGATGTTTTAGTAATATAATTTTATCACAAAACTAAAAACTTAGCGACTGTCTTAGAAGGTTATGTTTAATATATGTAATGTTTTTCTCAACTCATTTCATATTTAATTTTGGCAATTCTCTTTGGTCATTCAAGCAGTATCAATGAAAAGAATGTAACACAGGAGCTTTTTAAGTGATACAAAAGTGATTGAAGTGTAAAATCAAATTTGGCTCAGAAAAAATTCAGGAAATTCACAACAGCAATGTTTTTGTTGGGATGTGTAATCAATTCAGAATCAAAATTTTTAGTTTCTTTTAAAACCTGCGGCTGCGAAAACGTAGGATATTTTACTAAAAATTTGTCCGAAAAAAAATTTATGAAACATATAATCGAAAAGTGCATAAAGTGCAATAGTAATATTTAGTAAACAGTTTAGCTACATTAGTTGAGCTGATTTCAACACAACTTTCAGATTTTCAGTCGGATAACAAGAAGCATTAATAACTGGCAGATTATGTGATGAACACAAAAAAACAAAAGAAAGGAACATGCCATATTTGTCGTCTTTGTGATACATTACCCTCATGTAGCATACCTACGATGCATATTAACTAAAATAGAAAGCATAATAGTCAGTTGTCAAATGAGTAATAAAAAAAAGGCATGGCCATATTAGGGCTGAGTTTTTCGCGATGCTGAGTCTTAGATATTTTATGTCGAAAATTGGATAGAACTTTTTATTTAATAAATTTTTTTAACCTGCAGAAAAATGACTACAAACTTATTTTCTGTATATTTTTTAAATTCAATTGTGTAATTTTGCACCCATCCATTTATGGTAAAGTTAAGCCAAAATCAGATATCTCTTAATAGGTTCGTCCTAGTTTTTATGCAGCTTCGTTAAATATTTCCACTGTGAAAAAAGAAACATCATGGGTTAAAGTATCATGGTAGCTAGATAACAGTCCTGCAAGGATTAAAGTATCATGGTAGCTAGATAACAGTCCTGCAAGGATTAAAGTATCATGGTAGCTAGATAACAGTCCAAGGGTTAAAGTATCATGGTAGCTAGATAACAGTCCAAGGGTTAAAGTATCATGGTAGCTAGATAACAGTCCAGCAAGGATTAAAGTATCATGGTAGCTAGATAACAGTCCAGCAGGGTTATTTATATCACTAAACTGCAGCTGGTTAGTGAACACTTTGAAGGACTAATGTCCGTATTTAGGGATTTCTTGTTGATGAAGAGCTTTGTAAAGTGTATTGTTATTTCTCTTCAGGTATGCTACAGGACCTGATGTAACAGAACACTCGGTGTTAATTCATGATTACTACAGCAGAGAAGCAAACAATCCGATACATCTCACTGTTGATACCTTTTTGACTGAGGGTCACCTTAGCATCAAACCTTACACAAGGTATGGTACAATTTTGACTTGTAAGCAGAATATTGGGTATGCTGTGAATGCCGCAAATTGGTTGAGCATTGATAAACCAATAGATCTAACATCTACTTTGAAAATCACATAGATTACAGATGTATTTTTTTTTTAAAACATTTTACCATTTTGTATTCCAAATTAAAGGTGTGTAAAGGTAGCATGCAAGATGTTACTTTTATTCCCCTGAAAGAAGGCCTTTCATTCAATACCAGAACTTTTCAGCTGGATCAGATAAGGATGTTTCTGTAAGTCACTACCCAAGGGTTTTTTATTCAGTACCGGAACTTCTCAGCTGGATCAGATAAGGATGTTTCTGTAAGTCACTACGCAAGGGATTTTTATTCAGTACCGGAACTTCTCAGCTGGATCAGATAAGGATGTTTCTGTAAGTCACTACCCAAGGGATTTTTATTCAGTACCAGAACTTCTCAGCTGGATCAGATAAGGATGTTTTTGTAAGTCACTACCCAAGGGATTTTTATTCAGTACCAGAACTTCTCAGCTGGATCAGATAAGGATGTTTCTGTAAGTCACTACCCAAGGGATTTTTATTCAGTACCAGAACTTCTCAGCTGGATCAGATAAGGATGTTTCTGTAAGTCACTACCCAAGGGATTTTT